CAGCAGGTCGAGGGTCTTCTGGGAAAAAAAAAGAGGGTCGCATTGATCCTGTTGAGGGACTTTCCAGACTGAAGTGTTGGCGGTGTGAGTGAATGGAGCCGCGAGCTGAGTGCTGATTAAGAGCCGGGCTAAACACGAGCGTCACTTGACAGCGTTTATTCCTGAAAGGTTGAACAAGAGGAGTCAGAAAAATGAAAGAAATGCAAAATCCCTCTGGAGTGTTTGCTACCGAAAAGGAAAAAAAAAATACAGGATGTGGCCTGGTGTGAAGATGGCGCACAGCACAGTGTAAATGGATAGATTTTTTTTTTCCTGGAGTCAATAAGTCAGTGAGGCAATTTACATAATTGCATATTCACCCTTAAATCGTTTCTTTAAACTCATCCCAGGTCCTTCTAATCTAGTACTGCACTCATTTTAAAAATGAGAAATAAAAGCAGAAGGTCTTCTATATTTCTGATCATAATAAAAATCACAGTAATAGAAGGAAGCTATATCTCATTCCATCTCCATATCACGGATAATATTTCACGGTGACAACAGCAGCAACAGCATCACTTGTTACATTAAAAAAAAAAGAAAGAAGTAAGCGACATTAGCCGCAGCTTGTGAAACCTCATTGATCAGATCCAATAAACAGCCGAGCGCAGCACAATGACCAGGATGTGCGCACATAATTCATAAGTTGTGCATGCAATCAGCGGAAGAAGGCTTAACCTGTGGGGTTATGAGAAAGGGAGCATCTCCACCTCCACACCTCCCCCCCCGCCCCGTCGCACCCCACCCCCTCCCTCCCTCCTCCCCCCGGAGAGAAAGGGTTAATTGGAGTAGGAATTTCATCGCACATCTGTCAGATTTTTAAGGCCGTGACGCACTGAAAGCAGAGAGTCAATGTGAGCAAGGGGGAGGAGGAGGAGGAGGAGAAGGAGAAAGAGTTGGTGGTGAGATCGATGAAGTGGCAGGCAGAGGGAGGAGGAAAATCTCACGAGATAATGAAAGAAAAAGAGGAGAGCTGCTAGTGTAGAGCAAGAAAAAAAACGAGGCTAGACCCGGAGATTTTTTTGGAGTGGAAAACAAAGACCGAGAAACGGGAACGGAAGAGAGCGAGAGAGGTTCTGCCTGTAACCGCAGATGGTTTTTTTGCTCTCTGGTTTTTGGTGAATGTAGCACCCCGGGGCGCAGCGGACCAATTGTGTGAATCTGCAGGGCTGCTCGGCGACACAATCGGAGACATGCACAGGACGGACAACAGCCGCGGACGCGCTCTGAGAAGTGGATCATAAAGGTAGGGATTTTGGAGCTCCCTTAAACATACACATGTCCATGTTCTTGTTTCCGAATCGCCATCACGTCTGGTAGTTAGTTATAACGCATCGTCCAACATCCATTACATGGGGTTGTAAATATGCAAACGCACCGGTAATGTCCAGCGCTTCGCATGCGCGCTACTTCTCTATTCACAACTTTGCATAAGAAGAAGGAAAAAAAAAAAAAAAATCCCAGATTCCAAAATGAGGTTTGGTTGAAGTGATTAAAACACCGATATCGCTGTTTTTGTGGCGTGTTCCGCGCGATGTGGGAGGTAAAAATGACTCAAATGCTATGTATGTGTATGCATTATTGTTATTGTCTGAGATGTACGAGTGTGATTTAATGTTTAAGGCTGAAGAGACGAACGTTATTCGGCTGTTTTTGCTTCTCTGTAACGATGAAAGTTTAAATAGAGCGCAGTAACAGCGCCTGTCTTGTCTCACGCAGGCACAAAAGCGAGGCTTCTGCCGAAGAACACAGCTGAGCACCAAAGAGACAAGAGAGCAGAGTGCTGATGCACAAGTGAGAATAAAATCACAGTTAAAGCTCCTGATGCTGTTGCAAACTCGTTTTCTTGGAGTTTGAGGGAGTTTGAAGACAGTACTTAACGTTATCAGATAATTAATTAGACACCCCATAAGCCCGGAAATCAATTAATTCACAAATCAATAAATCCATAGTCTGGTGTAACAAGAGACCCTCCAGACTGTTAGCCCGGCTGTTGAACAACAATAACAAGAGAAGAGCAACAACACACAGGGGCAAGAAATACAATTTTATTTGTTGAAATTGAAGATGGATGGGGGTCTAGGGGAGATGTCCCTCCACAGCCACTCAGATCTGGCTCACAGCCAGGACGGCAGGGCCATGCTGCACTCCCGGGACCTTTCAGCTGCTTTCCCCAGGCCTTCCCTCGGGGGTCCCTCCATGTCTCTGGAGCCCGAGCCCCGTCCACCGGGCTTCGACCACTCCATGTCGGCACTGGGCTACAGCGGCGACTCCCCGTCCAGCTCTGGCAGCACCTACACCACCCTGACCCCACTGCAGCCCTTTGATGACAAGTTCCACCACCACCACCATCACCACCCCTGCCTCCCTGTCAGCAATGTCATCGGCAGCTTCACCCTCATGCGTGAGGACCGAGCACACCTCAGCACCAACTTCTACAACCCCTACGGCAAGGACCTGGCCATGACCCAAAGCCTGTCGCCCCCCTCCGCGGGTTCAGGCCTGGGCTCCTCCATGCACGGCTATGGCAGCTTGGGCAACAGCCCGAATGGCAATGGTGGCCAGATGCTCCACGGTGGCTACGACGTCCACGGGGGGAGCCTCTTCTGCCGGACATCAGATTTTGGCCGTGAGATGTCACCACCAGGCCTAGGAGGAGGCGATGTGTCAGTGTCAGTGGGGCATCAGCTGAACAAAATGGAGGCTCACCAGCACGCCCCCAGCCACCACCCTCACCTCTACAGCCAGCACTACCAGCCCCACCATCACCCAAGCCAGCAGGCCTCCAAGATGGGCGAGCACCTGCACTCCTCATCGTCTGCCTCATCCTCGCCCGGCGAGGGCATGCTGCCGGGCGGTGGAGGCGGCGCCGGGGAGGAGATCAACACCAGGGATGTGGCCCAGAGGATCATCACAGAGCTGAAGAGGTACAGCATCCCTCAGGCCATCTTCGCCGAGAGGGTTCTGTGTAGGTCACAGGGCACACTGTCTGACCTCCTGAGGAACCCCAAGCCCTGGGGCAAGCTCAAGTCCGGCCGCGAGACCTTTAAGAGGATGTCCCGCTGGCTCCAGGAACCCGAGTTTCAAAGAATGGCCTCGCTCCGGCTGGAGGGTAAGATCTAGCTTTGCTCTCTATCTGCCTCACACATACACACTCACGCTCATACAGAAACCACAACAACAAACAGACACACTCTTTCCCCTTGTTTTCCCCAAACACCATCCTTCTCCATGTCTTCCAAAAAAATCTCCTCTCCAGCAATCAGTATGCAGCTCAGGTTGAGACATGAGGAAAAGCAAAAGCATCATACTGATGTTTCCCTTCTTCACACCACTGTGAATGTACCACTGGTTAGTCTATTGTCTCAACAGCCTGGATAATAAGAACTTAGCAGCACATTGAGGACAGTTTGGGCAAGAATGGGCCATATGTGCCGTTCCTTTGTTTACTTTGCTCCCAAACAGCTCCTATTGATTTGTACAGTAGCTACAATAAAAAAGCCACAGACATTTGCCCTCCTCTTAAATGAACCATGAAGATCAGCGTGAGCAGCGGTTGGCAATTTAATCGCTTTTGAGCCCACAAAATAATTTGTGCAGATATGCCATTCTGGAGCGATTGATTAATTCGAGCAGTGATTTATATCTGCTCAGCGTGCGGCTGAAGTTGAGTTGGCAAGGTAGCTGATGCAAATTCGACTTGAGCTTTTGCCAGACGTCTTTTATCAACGTCGTCACCGAGGCAATTACCGCGAGGCTAAATACAAATGTTGTTCTGCTCGGAGGCAGCACCTTGCAGGTTTGTGAGATTCTTCATATCTGGAGAACAAGAGGTTATTGCCTAACTGGAGGCGCATGTAATGCTTAGTGCTGGATCGATTAGTCGACCGACAGAAAATTAATTGACATCTATTTTATAATGAATTAATAAAATTCACATATGAGGCAAAAATGCTGGTTCCAGCAATTTGCTGCCCTTTTCTGTATTTCTGTAAATTCAATGCATTTTTGCTTTTTGGACTGTTGGTCAGAAAATAAGCAATTTGTAATAAGCAAGATGTCACTCTGGGTTCACAGAATGTATGATTTTTTTTTCATTTTTCACTATTTTCTGACATTTTATAAACTTTACTTACATGATTATTTGTAAAAAAAAATAATAATAATACAGAAATGAATCGATGGCCAAAAAATCATTTGTTGCAGGCCTACTAGTATTCATACAGATTTCATAGGGTAAAGATTTTTTTTGAAAGGCACATTGTAATCTGCTGCTTGACATTTAATATTCTTTGGGGATGTGGATTGAAGACACGACAGCACGCTGTACAGTGCCGTGTTACAGTGTTGTCCCTCCACAGGGACCAAGGGCCCATCTGATACACGGAGCACAGAAAGAGATCCAAGTGAACACAGTAACATGAGACGAGCATAGACGAGTGTGTGTGTGTGTGTATCTGCAAGTGGTCTGCTCACTGCGGGGGTCTGTGAGCAGTACGTGTGTGTGAGCCTGCCCAGTTGATCACTGCTTTTCGCTCTCTGTCAGCAGCTCAACTGATTAAGCCCAACAACACAATAGGGTTCATAGGTAATGATTGTGCACTCTTGCAATCCCTTCACAATTATTGATCTTTGATTGTTCGGCTCTGAGAGCACATGTGTACATCCTCCATTCAGCAAAACGTTACAGCAATCACACCAAAACCTCTTATCTAAAGATGAGTTATCTGTGGGTTGGTTCTGTAATTTGACAGAAACGTTGTGTGATGAATCCAATCTTGCCACGTGTGAGTGCTTTGTATGCAAAACGCCTCTTCCTGTCACACAAAAACCTAATTCTCCTCATGATAAAACAGCCCTTTGTTCTTTTGAGCAGATTTCTAATCATCAATCATTCTTTCTTTATTTCCAGCATCCTTGTGCCTTCATCTTTACAAACACAAACATTATTTTAACGAGTCAGTCCTCCAAGTCTGAGCAGCCGATCAATCAGACTCATAAAAAATTAAAGTCCCTACACAGAGCAGTGTGCTAATGTTTGACAATGCTGCTCTCTCTTTGCTCCCACACACTCTGAAATTGCATATTTAGTTCTTGGCAAAGCCACAATTTGGACAGCTCGGCACTTTTCTACATAACCTACTTTCCGAAGGGGGTTGTTGTTTTTTTCCCCCCCTGGCCAACCCCCTTTTGTTTAATTACAAGCCTCTATTGATTTCCATGGGAAAGAGCAGCACGCCTTGCCCACACACACCTCGGCCGCATCGGCGAATCGAGACTGGAATTAGAATGCGCGGTGCCCTGTGCTCCCCAGTCTGAAGATAGCTCAAGTGCTCTCTGCTTCACGCCTCAAGTTTTAAGATGATCCTCCTTAATGCAGCACTCGCTTAAATACATAGAAGGCCCTTGAGTGTCAGCCAGCAGCACCGTGTTATTTCCATAACTGTGTCTTTTATATATGAAGGGTTGCAGAGCTCTCTGCGAGTCCTGATGCTCAGTAATTATGGAATGAAGTCGCTGCCATTTTGTCTTTTCAAATAATTGTCTGTTCTGCAGAGACATTTTGCTAAACACGGAGGAGGTGATCCCTCGGATTTATCCGCAGTATCTTGGCTTTTTCTTGTGAGTGTGTGTGTGTGTGTGTGTGTGTGTGTGTGTTTATACTCTATGGATTACTGCGCTGTATATGAGATGCATCTCTAGCCCAACCTCAGGCTGTGGAGGAGGCAATCAGGATTTAGTCAGAGAAGAAGGCAGGATAAAGACCACACAGCCATGCTCCGACACTTAAAGTCGAGGAGGGTGGGGGGGGGATCAGAGACTATAACTTTAAAGATGATGGCCGAAGCCCTTGACTAAAGGTCTAAATGAATAAGAAAGGTCAATGCGGTTTACGTGTCGGCTCCGGTGCCTGCACCACCCCCACAGTAATGAAAGCCACAAAGCCTCGTCCACCTCTCGCTGCGTACAGTTCGCATTCTACCAGCGAGGCTCAAAGGTCAAAGCCGATTCCATTTGCATATCAGGAATTGTAAACAGGCCGACGTGGCCTTAGCTGCGCATCACCTAACAAACAGGATTGTTGTTTTTTTTGTTTTGTTTAGTTTTTTTTTTTTTTATCTGGCTCTTGCAGCTCCCCCCACTCCGGCGCTGAAGGGGTTAACCAGCCTCTGTGGGTCGAGGAGTCTGAGCTGCACAGATTTAATCAATAATTTCTATCAGCCCCTGGCCCAAGAAATCAGCAGGGGGTGGGCTGGAGGGGCTGGGGGGTGGGAGGGGTTGGGGTGGGGGGGTGTGTTCTGGCTGGGAGGGGGGGTGTAGGTTGAGACGCCGGGGGGTAGGGAAAGGGCTTTCGATCACGTTTCAGCAACACGAGACAGGGGCATACATCATGATTAGGGGCTGTTCCCACGATCATAAGAAGCCTATAGGGGAATATTTATGTCTGCAGGAGTAGCCCCAGCGCCGGGGATTTATAGCATGGTAATTGTGAGCCTTTTACACATGATTACAGCATAAGGAAGCATTTACTTAATGGTCGGCGTTATGATCGTCAGGAAGGGAGAGAGCCGAGGATGGGATGGAGGCGAGGAGGAGGAGGAGAGCGGCAGGACACCCTGACTCCTCCAACAAGCCATAAATCCACGCTACAAGCAAGCTAGCCAGCACTATCATGTCATTCCTTTCATTACTACATGAGCTGAGAGTGCACCACTGTATATACCCTCTATAGCTGCAGCCCACCCCCCAACCCCCAGCCCAGAAATATTGATGGCGGGGATGGTGTAACGCCCGTGAAAAATGTAGTGTTTTGAAAAAAAAAAAATTTCACTTGTAGTGATATTGACATGCCGCTGACATGTCGGCCTGTTCAGATTTTAATGAGACGTGGTTCGATAACTCTCAGAAATGCAAACGAGCTCTGGATGCCTAAAAGCTAACAGGCACCTGTAATCTCAAGTTGACAAGAGTGCATCCCAGAGTCAAAACATTTCCTTCTGATAATGATTTTAGAGGAGAACGTGCACGGGGAAATCACAGCGAGATTTATTCATGTCCACTTGAGTACTTAAGTTTCACAAACTCAGCTGGATGTCAGAGCAATCAAAGTCTGACTGTGCCGTGCGTCACACACACACACACACACACACACACGGCTCCCCACCCAGCTCTGATGCTGCCGTTGTGATGGCACTCGGGTGGAAAAGACGGCAGTAAGGTCACACTTATTTCTCAAGCGCTCTGCTAATGAGAGAAATTTGCCGCTGTGAGTTTGAGGAGGGAAGAGCCGGTCATACAGTAAACATCAGCAGCAGCCCTCGCTGTGTGAGATGTTTCTCAATGGGAAGATGTAAGCAGATCAATTGAACTTGTCAGAGCTGTTTTGAAAGCAAAAGGCAGCATCTGGGGTTTATATAATGTATGTTTGAGGCATGTGTGTGGTTGATTGTGTCTTAGGGTTTAAAATATGGGATTTCAAGGTTATTGCGTGCTGATATCTCCATCTAATGGAGATGAAGTCATTTTTGTCAATAATAGAGTTCCATAAACCTTGTTTTTTTTTTTAAAGAAACAAGTAAAGAAATCAGCCAGTGCAGCAAGAATATTTCAACCAGTTTCCACTAGAAATCAGCTTGTTTCAATATATTTTTCTATTTCCAGTTCTGTGTTTTGTTTTTAAAATACAGACATTCATTTCTGGAAAATTCTTGGAACATTTGAGTAGAAAACAGGTTGAAATAATCTTGTTCTGGCCAATTCGTTCACATTTTTTAAGAAAATAAGACATCTGAGACTCTTTTTCTACACAAAAATGACTTATTCACGTATATATTGTCCAGTGATTCAGTGTTACCCCTACACTGTACACCTCTGAGGGTGAAAGCTTCTGAAACAGCATTATAAGCCCTAATTTAACTCGAAATACGAAATAAAATAATAGTTTTATTTTGCAAACATTAGAGCACAATTATATTAATGAGCAAAAAACGAAAAGAAATACACTTTTTGTTTCCAGCTTCCAGATCTCCTCAGGCCAGTATTCAGTAAAAGTCCAGCATCTGCACCAATTTACTAGTCCTCCCTTAGTGTGTGTGTGTGTGTGTGTGTGTGTGTGTGTGTGTGTGTGTGTGTTGGTGTGCAAGCCTTGTTGTGTTGTGTGCACATGCACCAATGCTTACACTTAGAAACACATTTGATACCATCAGCAAAACAGTCGCTCAACCACACAGTGCTGATTGAAAACTCTTAAAAGTGTGCATTTAGGTAATTGCACGACTCCCCCAAATATGTTTTAGTCCACTTAAGGCTTCTAAACACCCTGGGCAATGCCGACTCTGCTTGTTTCACTCACCCCTGACGTAACCCGCCTTTAATAGAAAATAAATTAGTTCCCCCTAAAGTGATTATTACTCACTCACTGCCGCCACATGTAAATGACTTTTATGAGAAACTAATGATGTTGAAGTGTCCACTAAGGGAAAGGGAAGAGAGGAAGTGGAAGGAGATGGACAGAGAAAAGAGAGAGAGAGGAGGGAGGAAAGGGATGGGAAGTTGGCTCGGTACACAAAGGCAGAGGTTGGTGTTGTGTTTCCTGTAAATACAGAATTACAGCGTGTTAGAGGGGAAAGGTTCAGCGATGGATATGCAGAGGAACATGCAGCCTGAATTCAAAATGCTCGTCTGATTCTCAAAATGGATCTGAGCTCAGCCCACACACATCAGGCTATTTTTCCTCTTCACTGAACAAAAGGGGCTTTTTTTATTTTTTCACAGGGTAATTTTTTTTAAATTTCAGACTTTTCGTGAGGGAATATTGATTATATAATTGGGCTGGCTGCCGCAGTTACAGTGGTGTTTAACCCAGACCCTGAGTTTCTATTTTGTGGTTGGTGTAAGCAAGACTGACATTAAAAAAACAGAATACCAGAAGACTTCATCACCTCTCTCCCCGCTTAAAAAGTTTGAATATGGACAACTTTGACACTAAGCTAATTTAGCAAGAAATAATGACTGTTTTTATCCTCTGTGGACCGCAGTATGAAAAACAGATACAGTACATTATCTAGGCAGAGTCTGACTAAAAAGTGGCACCTCAAGCCATCAGTTTATTTTAGATGGATTTACAGGAGGTTAAAAAAATAAATTGCATAGTTTGGAGTAGTTAATGCTAATCTGTAAGTAAATAATTTAATGTTTCTGCAGTTTGTCTCTTGCGTTGGCCTCACTGTTATGTTTTCCCTTGTCCCTCTGAATGTAGATTGCAGTTTAAAGTGTAGAACAGACATGGACAAGTAAAAGCCTGTATCCATTAGTACTCCAATAAATTTAAGTACCATCTAGTGACAAATAAATTACTGAAATGACATCGTAGCGAGAGAAAAAGAAGGTGAAAGATTTTGGCTGAAAATGATTACTATTGGGTTCACTGGTCCTTTTGCAAAATGAGGACTTTACTGTCCATCTGTATGTGTGTGTGTGTGTGTGTGTGTGTGTGTGTTTGAATGTGATTATTTCTTTGGAAGACAGCCATTGTCATTGGACGACCACACCAGATTTTGCACTTTGTCTTTAGGCCATGTAAAAATATACTCTGCTTTCCAAAATGGTAGGAGCATAATGAAAACCACAAAGGATGGATGTACTGATCTGTTTTATCCCGGCAGCCTACAGCAGCTCACTAACAACACGATGTGATAGGTTGAACATCTTGATTCCTTTACTGCACAATGAAACAAGTTGCTGATTCATCTCTTTTAACTAATCAAAGTTGCTTAGCTAATCTGTTTTCTTTCAGCAAATCCACTTTCCCTCAGCTTAATCCATTTGTCCTAGTTAGCTAGCCAGTCTGTTAGCTAACCTGTTTCCCCTTTCCTTTTTTAATTTATCTTTTATCCATCTGCCCGCAGCCTGCAAGCGAAAGGAGCAGGAACAGAGCAAGCTGGAGCGCAACCAGGGCCCGAAGCGCACCAGGCTGGTGTTCACGGACCTGCAGCGGCGCACGCTCCTGGCCATCTTCAGGGAGAACCACCGTCCGACCAAAGAGCTGCAGGTCACCATCTCCCAGCAGCTGGGGCTGGAGCTCTCCACTGTCAGCAACTTCTTCATGAACGCCCGCCGACGCAACATCAACAAGTGGGCAGACGAGGGCCGTCCCTCCTCCACGGGTTCCTCGGGCTCCAGCGTCTCCTCCTCCGCAGTGTCCTGCAGCACGGCATGATGATGGACCGCCGAGGAGGTGCGGTGGGGAGGGCGCCGAGGGAGCAAGGGGGCACATAGACTGGTCTAGGCAGAGATCAGCCGTAATAAATGTCCTCCTCGTTATCAGAAGGAGCGACGGAGCCAGCTATTATAGATGATTTTATGAAGATGAAGCATTTTTCCCAAACCAAAGTCGATCGCCCCCTTGAAATAGAAGGGGGCGATACCCAGAGTGATATGATCGCAGGACGTGAGGTCCTGCTTGTATAGTCAAGGGTGCAAAGATGATTTGACTCAAAGAAGAGTCACACCCTTACATAGACACCATCTCATTGCATTATTTTGATTATCTAGATTAGAGATAATGAGGGTATTACAAATCAGGAGAAAGCATATTTTGATGTACCTTCAAATCTATAGTCATCTCTCCAAACGTGAAGAATCAAGAGGTGCCGTTTGCTCACATCTGGAGAGCTCCATTGTGTAACTTCTTAATCAAAAGTGTTGTCCATCATCCAAAGACGTTAATCCTCCCCAAATGTTCTTATGGTCCTTTTTTTCCTCAAGAATCAAGGTGAAAGAGGAAGGAAAGGCTTTTTTTTTAACGTCCCATTTTTTCTGAAGAACCTAATTCCCCTTTCTTAGCATGTGTTGCCATGGTGATGGTTCCCAGGACTGTATGGCGTTGTTCCAAGTTCGGAGCCTGGGATTATCAGGAGGGTTCTGTAGCGTCCGTGACTCCCAGCTGTCAATCATATACCATCAACAGGAGCCTTTCCTGTATTTTGTGAAGATGGTCCCGCCTTGAATGAATCAGAGTTTTCAAGGGGGAACCGCAGTGCATCTCGCCGTACGCCAGGACAGAATCAATAAACGCAAGTAGGACGCAGAAACAGACTTGTTGGTGCAACTGTCTAGCTTTAAGACTCTCACTGAGCTTCCAAACGAAAGCTCCACAGCCATTTTTTGACTCAAAATCAAGCCAAAAAAAAAAAAAAAAATGAAAAAATGAAAACCAACCTTTGAACACAAAGGCTCCACGGGGAAGAGATACGCCTGACACAATGTATAGTGACATTGTAGTATTTTTTTCCACTCATTTCCAAACAACTGTACACACCTCTGCTCCATTACGAAATCTTTTTTTTACAGATGTCTAGAAAATGGAGGAATGTGATTCTTTCAGCCCTTTTTGTACAGATTTCAAGCACATCGCTCTATTTATAGAAACACGTTGGAAGTGCGGGGCAGTTTGTTTCAGCCCTGCTGACGTACAAGGTCATTTTTTTGGTCCACAAAGGAAAGGCTTTAACATGCCTCCTTATAGCCAATAGTTAAATCAAACCAAGAACGTTTCAAATGCAATTGCTGATCTGATCAATGTATTTATTACTGCATTTGTGTATTTATTGTTTTCCCTTTTTCTTTTCTCTCTCTATTTATTTGGTTATTTATTTATTCTATCTATATACTGTAAGTATTTATTTAACAATGCTCTGTATGTCTGTGTGAAACTGAAGACTTTTTCTGATGGGCACTTTTAGCTGTAGAATCCCATCGTAATACCAAAGATAAACATTGCCTCCCTGAATGTACGGCCTGAATCCCTAAACCCTGTACCCAGTACCCAATCCCAACCCGATCCAGCCCAACCCACCCAGTGATGTTACGTATCTCTCTCTATCTTTAAGGCCTGGCCTTTGTTTTTTTTGTTTTTTTTGTAGAATAATGGGGATTTCTTTACTCTTGCAAATGTCTCTGCGGTCAGCTCTTAACGCCAAGGCCAAAGCTTGTTTGAATGTTGTGATAATATTTATAATTAATAATACTATGAATAATAACAATAATAATAATAACGATTATGATGTGGCATCCCATAGGTTCACAGGTTGCTTGTAAAGTTGTGTTCAGACCAATGCCATCTGGCCGAGTGTGTAAAGTATCTGGGGACCCACTTAAAGCGCCGTCTGAAGGCCCCATTGAGTGCGAGTCCTTCAGGGTCACATGCAAACATGCGTACTGTGTGTCTGCCTGGGGAAATGCATGGTTGTGACCACCCCCATCTCCCTCACCTGCCCCCCCTCCCCAGTACAGTGCAGACAGTCCTGTCTATGTCCAACTCAGTGTGATCTCACCGTCCTCCACATGCCAAGCCCTTCTGACAGTTGTCTCAGTTCCAAGAGGATTAGGGTTCGTTCTTGACCTTCGGGGTTGTTAAGGTGTGTTCCTCACCTTCTGGGGATCTAATTTCATGTGCCCGAGGTTCTGAAGGTCTTAGGGAGTTTGTTCTTGGCCTTTTAGGGTCTTAGGGTTTGTCCCTGGCCTTCTGGGGTTCTTCTGGTTTGTTCCTCATCTTCTAGGGATCTCTGATTGATGGTTGTGAGGCCTGGAGGCTTTGTCCCTGGATTTTAAGGGTCTTAGAGTTTGTTCCTGATTGTGGGGGAATCTTTTGATTTTGTTGCAAGGCTTCCGAGGCTCATAAGAGTGTTGGGGTTCATTCCTGATCATCTAAGGTTCTTGGAGTTTGTTCCAGGTTCTCTAGTCAGCAACAAGCACAGACAAAAGTGGTTTGATTTGCTAGTGTTTTGCATTGTGGATGCCTAAATCAGGAGAAAATCACCCAAGATCTGACTCTCTGACCCCTGTGTTAATGCTGCCAAAGAGTGGCGTGGTTAGCTTGGCCTTTATCCACCCTCTCTCTCTCTCTCTCTTTCTCTCTATGTCTCTTTTCCTCGCTCTTTCTCTGTCTTTAACGTTGGAAGGGGCGGATTGCCGGGGCCCCCTTCACAGCGTGCACTTGAAAGACGGGCGGTCATGAAAGAGGCCATCGACTTTTTCACAGACTTCAAAGGCGAGGCTTTTTTCATCCCGTCTCCTCTCTGGGTATCTGGTCTGGGGTCCGCTCTTGGCCAGACCTGTGGGCTTTAGGGGGCATTCAAAGGGGGCGGGGGGAGATCAGAGAGGAGGCTGAATCATCCAGAATGAGGATGGTGGTAGTGGTGTGTGTGTAGGAAAGGTGGGAGGGAGGTTGTTTGAGGAATAGGAGGTGTTGGAGTAGTGGGGCATGGAGCTGAATTAAACTTTAATGAGCAACAATTGTAAGTACGCTGAGAGCAAAGGGGGGTGATGGTGGGGGTGTGAGGTTGAGTCTGTACGGGGGGGAAATAAAAAATAAAAGAGCTTGGAGGCTCCTGTGCTGACCCCTGCTCGCTACTGTCATTATATCAAAGCTGAGGTGACACCTTTCAGGTTTCTCTTTGTCTCTCTGACTGGGAGCCTAAAATGGAGACGGAGCTTTTTGTATTGAGCCACCTTCTGCTCCTGTCAAGCGGGGAAGCTCTTCCCTTTCTGTACAGAGAGGAGATGGGAGGGAGGGAGGAGTGAATCCAGTTGGCTGCTGCAGGTGATCCACATTGCCATCTTAGCCTGCGGCACCCCCTAGTGGCTTTTCCAGAAACTTGACCCTGAAACAAGTCTGGCAGCCAAGGCCGTTGTAGAGCAATTCTGAGGGGAGTGGAAATTATGAAATAGCAGAACTGAAAGCGAATATATACTTTCAGAGTGGAAAAAAAAAAAAAAAAAAAAAAAGACCACAAAAAACTGATTTTTTGATAATGTTTAAACCAAAAAACAACCAAAGATTGATGGGTAACTGCTGAATCATTATGTATCTTGGGTAGTTTTAGCAGTTCCCTATCAGAGCTACCGTAGCACTCAGAGGATTCAAAAAAGCACCAGTGGGATTCCGCGTGCTGATTATTTATGTTGCATAAAACAGTATTATGTTGAGCTGGAACTGAGAAACTGACATGAGGCAGTGTCTTCAGATGGAAGTCTTTTGACTCTGTAAACCCAGTGTCCCCCTGTCTGTCCCTGCCCTCTCCCCTGTGTGTACATGAAGACTTTACCCATCTACCTCAACTGTGTGAGATGTTGTGTGGCAAAGATATTCCTTAACCAAAGAATCCATCCTGTCAGGGTGTCTGTCTATCTATCTATCTATCTATCTTGTCTGTCCATCCGTCTCTTCTTCATGCCTTTTACTCCAAACCAAATGTGCTGGAATCAATCCGTAACAGGAGCCAAACGAGGCCTCCATCCAGCCAAAGCTTAAATCCAGTATGCTAGAGTGTCCCATTGATCCATGTTCTGTATATAAATAAAATCATTCTCAAGACCAAAAAAAGAAGGAGGTGACAATCCAAGCAAGGAGGATCTTGCTGTAATCAACGTTGCCTATTCCTTGTTTTCCGAAATCTAGAATCATGTGACTTGCTGTAACAGAAAAGCCCAAGAATCAAGCACTCATCCCAAAATAAAAAAGGTCGGAGGAGACAGAAGCTATTTTTCCACATTTGTAAGCCACCCCTCCCACCCCCGTTTTTTCCAAAATGTTTAGTGTAGTTGAAATACTGTTCGATCCCACTGTTGTAAGTAGGAATTAATGAAATCCATACAAAAAGCTTTAAACGAGGAAGAGCTGAGGGAAATATTATATTTGACTGAGTCTGAGTTTCCTCAGCTTGGACTCGACCCACCATGCTTTATCGTGCCATTCTTGTCCATGTGTTAGACTTACTAATGAATGTGGCTAACCAACCAAAGGCTTTAAAAAAAAAAAGATACACAACACTTTAAACGTCAATCATGGTGGGACATTTTGTATCAACAACTAAAGAAAATCCCTTTGAATACCTCATGTGAAAATTGTTTGTTGTGATGTTGCACTAAAAAAATAAAAATGACTCATTTGTAACCCAACACTGTACTCTGTGGACTTTGTTCTGACCTTGTTGGAGGTGTTAGCCAAGAAGTTGCTCTGGGTTTTTAAAGGCCAACACTGTCACCAGGATTGTTTGAAAATGCTGTTAATACATCGCTTAAACTCTACTCTTAAATTAGATTATATTCATTCAATAAGAATGCAAGACATCACCTTCATGAACTCTGGTATTCCCCCAAAGTTGCATGACAGATACACAGTATACATTTAGTATCTGGTGCCAGATATGGCTATATTTAACGCCAGACTACACGTTTTTATTTTTATATTTTATTCAACACAAAGCAAAAATATTCCCAATCGTGTTCGAGATTGTTCTCCAAATTCAGCCACACATATTTGATATTTTTGGAAGGTTTCAGATGTCCACTACAATTTAAAATGAAGTTTTGTGGGTTTAAACAAAGCTTTGAGTTTCTGATGATGGACCAATGGTGGACTTCATTCTCTGTTGCTTTCATTCTTTGGCCGGCAGTTTTCACAGAAATAGTTCAAAATACGCTTATTTGCTTTCTTCCTGAGAAAGTCTGTACGTAAATATGAAGTTACAGCCAACAGCCAGTTAGCTTAGCTTAACGTAAAGACTGGAAACAGAGTAACACATAACCTGGCTACGTACAAATCTCTCTATTGAAGAATACATCTATCTTCAATTTGATCTTTTCCTGTAGCCTACGATATGCTATGTGCTCGGTTCTTCTATATAGAAAAGAAGAACATTTTGGTTTGCTGGTTAAAAGATAAAAGCAACATTAGTCACATCTTAAATTAGGTAGATAACAATTAACGTAGATTAGTTAGCTAGTTAGCTAGAATTTTGCCAATTTAGGATATGACTATGTCGCTTTATCTTAACTATCTTCAAAATTTGCAAGCCCAGCATATTTACAGTACAGGAAAGGAGGAAGTTGAAAGTGGTTCCAAAAGGGGCGGGACTTAGGAAGGGTCAATTGACATTTTCGTAACTCAATGCTTGAAAAGAAGGTCAGTCGAAAAAAAAAAAAATAACAAATGGCTTTTCTTCTTAGCCAAGACAATGTAACTGGCCTGCAGGCAGCTACTATAGCATATCACATCAGCATGTGCACAGGACGGAGATATTTACCAGAGACAGTAGGGTATTGATTTTGGCGTTCCTTGTGTCGTAACATGTAAAGGCTAAATTGACCAACAAGCCAATTTCCCATAGAGTCAATGCAATCCTTTCAGACAGTTTTAATGGCAGATTTAACAGACTGACAAACCTGAAACTGGCGGTGTAAAATCAGATATTCACCTTCATCACATCTGCGGTACAGAACACAGACCTGATATTTACTGAAAGGCAGACATTGGGCGGATCGATAAACTGATATATCGATCCAGACTTGGCATGTCTCACTGTGACTGAGCCTCAGCAAGGAGTACATCTGTCTCTTTATTACAGATTCAAACACACACATCCATATATACACAAACAAGCACACTGTCTTACAAAACAAGTTCAGTGTCATACTGTAGTATTTAAAAAATGCCATTTTTGGCTTTCGTTGTAAAAAGGAATCAAAAACAAAACAGATCTTAAAAAGAGAAAATCTTATATGTTGTAATCAAAGTGAGATTTAACTGTAAAAATATTCTAAGAAAAAGAGAGAAGGGAACTTAGTTTAACAACAGATTCATTTCAGTTCCCGCTGCAGCTACATGATGGGGTAGCAGCCGTACAGAGCGATGCCGCACTGGTCGTTCTTGTTGCGTGACATCCGGATGTAGCCCTGGTCTCCAAAGGTTTTCCCCCAGCTGAGGAGAAAAACACAAGAATATAATTAACGGGATATACCAAGGTTTTTGTTACGTGATGAGAAAGTCATCCACGTGCCTGAAGTCGATCAATCTTTAGCGTCTCGTGCTAATAGTTTAACATGAACTATTTTCAGTGTTCAAAAGTGTTCTATATTAAGGGTAGCTGGTGGGCGATGGAAGATGTGCAGTGGATGAACGTGTGGTTACTCAGTTACTCTACAGGTGAACACTGGCAACATTTGGTTTATGTCTTACTTTATGTGATCTGTCTATCCCTCAGTACAATGTGTGTTAAAGGGGACTGGGCAGAGGTGTAGTTGATCGATACAGATGACACAGTTATCATGAATATCATTGTCTCTATAATTAATAATTGGTCTCAAGGGAAATAAAAGTCACACTCGTTCGAAATCTCAAAATGCTTTTGATATGTTTATAAAATTATAAAATGCCTAAAAAAGCCAGAAATGTTAAGGCCCCAAGTCTTCTCCAGTGAGCTTTAGCTCTAACTTGTATTTACATATATGGTTGACCCCATCCGCCATCTCACTGCTGTCCTCAATAATTAGATTGATATAAAAAAACAGGTGATAAAAAATCATTGGTAAGATTAAGTCATTTAGAAATGGCATTATTTAAATGAAAGGTAACAGTACTGAAAAGTGTCTGCTGGCAGGAGATAAGACAGAACACTGCTTTTAAAAAAATATTATTATATGAAATATGGAGCAACAGAGTCAATGATGTTTATACATCTAAAACAAACCTTTGTAGAACAAAATGATTGAGCAATACACTGTGTGGTGAGACCCATATAAAGAGGATTAATACAAGCTAAACAGGCCTGACGAGGTCAGCGGTAAATGATTGGGAAATTGTGATGTTTGTCATGCAATAAGTGATGAGAAATGAAACTCCTTCTTACACACAAATGATTTTGTGACTTAGTCCAACCTTGAGTCTTAAAGTCTATTAAACCGCTACACTCATGTCAGCAAAACACCCAAACCCTGAACAGAACAGCTGTGAGACTTCTCATTTCTCTTTTCTGTACCACCTCCTCTTCTCTCTTCTCCGTCCTCCTGCCTGTGACCCGGAAATCGATCTCAGCGCGCCATCTGGAAGAACATCTCAATTCCTAAACTGCATCTTGAGGAGGGAGGAGGCTTGCCGGAGGAATCATGCGTGAGGATGCGCAGCTGTATGCTTTGGATACAGAAGTTGCGGCTGTGCAACGTGTCATATCTAATTGCCTTTGCTGTAAAATCCTGGCTCTGAAACGAGAATGGGCCTCAGACGAAAGGACAGGAGGCACGAAAGAAATTGAGGATGTTCCAAATTGAGAAACGAGAGGAGGGGCGGGTCTTTGCTTGTTGATACACAGTCAACCTTCCTGTAGAGCTCTAACTTCCCTGTTTCACTTCCCCTGTGTCCTATAAGCCAATAAGCACCACATAGGGGACCAGATTGGAGCTACACATGAGAACAATATGTACATCGTGTATGGACTATTAGTGGAGGTCTCACCTGTTCTTTACCAGCCAGTAGTCTTGTCCATCCAGGGTGCCGTAGCCCACAGCTAACACCCCATGGTTCACCTTCTGGGAGCAGTTTGGGTCATTGTACACTCCTGAAAAGAGTCAAAATCCATCTCATTATATTCATTTTATTTGTTATTTTTAGAAACATTTATGCCAGGAATGTATTTATTTCTATTTAATGTATTTTTTTTTTAAACCAATTTTATACAAATTAGTTTGCAGAAAAAAGTTGGATCATCATTAGTGCATATACAAATAAAGCCAGTAAAACACTATACTAGCAAGTGAGGGATTCAGTGTTTAGTTCAAGAAAACTAAACAGTGTGCTCTTTTGCACCTTGACCTACAATTAACAGTGAGTACACACATGCATCTCTGCAGCAAGGTGTTAAACCACAAGAAGTGATCACAAGCCAGATTTTCTGGGGGTGTTAACTTGAGCTTTTCATATGAATATATGTTTAAAAAAGCAACCCCCAACCCCTCCACAAAAGATCTCTCTGTACGACAGAGGTCATACAGCCGTGAGCCTGTGCAGCTGATGATGTGCAACGTACCGCTCCTGTAGAAAGTAAAAGTGGGCCGCGTGGCGTCGATCGCCACTGAAATGGGTCCGATGTTTGCGAGCGCCTCCTTCAGAGCCCCCTCATCCCCTTCAGGCAGGAAGCTGTACTGGGAGCAGTTGGCTGCGCGAAACTTAGAGTTGTATCGGCATTCTCCATTCTGAAGTGAGACAGACAAACTGGGGTTAGATCTGGTGGTATTAAAAAAAGCACCTAATAGGAATGCAGAAAAAGTAATTTCTCAAATGATCTGGAACTCTGAACTCACCAACTAAGGTGACGTCCATTTAGGAAAAATTTTAACTTTTTAATTGTCTCAGCTGTTGATTTTACATTTTGCAGCTCTCCGCAGGTGAGTCAGAGAGGGAATTTCAGCCACATACGCTTATTAAGAGTATATTTCACATCACAGAAAATAGTTTTTATTTATTTTTCGGGTGAATTAGAACCACAACACCTCCGCGAGGCTGGAACAGTCTGTCGGATCTGCTCAGAACTGCCCTCCTCCTCCACACCAACACCAACAACAGCGAACCAGATGAAGCCTGGAGGACAAACACGTTGTCCGCTCCGATTAATTTATTGTTGCTCCAAAGAGACATTAACAGCAGACCACAGACAAGTGAGAAGAGTGTTGCTGTCTACAGCCTGAAGGGCCGGACTTAACTTCTCGTACACCCACATTGTTTTCTCATACAGGAGTACTGTAAACCTCAGTGCACTGGGTTTCCTATATGTTTCCACTTAAAAAACTCCAAAACATGTTTTAATATCTTGTAAACTCGGAGAACAACACGCGGTAAAAATCTGTCCTGAAGCTTTCATAAGAGAACAACAATCATCCCTCTTTTACCATAAATAAGCATTAGGCCCCTCATGGGGAGGGTAAGTACCGACCACCGACTGTCACCTTTCATTCCTTTCCACCATGAAACCGAACAACACTGAGGCAACGTTACCTATCTCGCGCTGCAGTTTCCAAGGCTGCAACTAACAATTATTGTCATTATCGATTCCATAATTGTCAGCAGATAATCCACGGTAATGTGTTGTTTTGCTTTTCAGTCCAAAATCCACACACATACAGTTTAC